GCGCCCAGCCTCCATCACCATTCTTGACTTTCCTGTTTATTTTGGATTCATAATAGAGTTTTAAATGTAATATGATCAGGATTTTAGTGTGGCATAAGTTTGCTCAGTCTGCTGACTGTGACTTCATTCTTCTTTTGTAGAGGAAATTCAGTCCAAATGTAGTAGAATAGTTCAATTTGAGAAGTAGTGTCCCTTTTTCTCTTTCATTCTCTATTCCTCCCTAGTAGAAATTTTAAGGTCTTCGGAAGATTATGAATTCTTTCAGAAGTAGGGTACTCCTTAGTTTATGTAATAATTATCTCATTTTTTTGAGAATCCTTAATTCTTTTTTTTTAATTTTAATTTTATTTTTTTTCGTTGTTTTTTTTTTCTTTGAAGCAGGTTCTTGCTCTGTCACTCAGGCTGGAGTACAGTGATGTGATCATAGCTCACTGTAACCTCCAACTTCTGGGCTCAGGAGATCCTCCTGCCTCAGGCTCCTAAGGAGCTAGGAGTACAGGTGCACATCACTACACCCAGCTAAGTCTGTAATCTTTTTGTAGAAACAGGATCTTGCTCTGTTGCCCAAGCTGGTCTCAAACTCCTAAACTCAAGCGATTCTGCCGGCTCAGCCTACCGAAGTGCTAGGATTATAGGCATGGGCCACTGTGCCTGGCCCAGGAATCCTTATTTCTTAATCTGACATTCAATTAATCAGAATATCTTTCCTTAACATTCTGGATAAAAAGAATTTAACTGTATATGGATTTTTAGTTTTCAGAGAATTAGAATATAGTAATGTAGACTTAACTTTAAAGCTCTAGTAAAGCACCACATGTACTCACCATCAAATTGGTATTAACTGATCAACACTTAAGTGCACGTACAGTAATAACATTCATCGGGTGTTGGGCAGATGGGAGGGGGCAGGGAGGGGATGGGTACATACACACCTAATGGGTACAGTGTACACCATCTGGGAGACGAATACACTTGAAGCTCTGACTCAGGTTGGGCAAGGGCAATTTATGTAACCTTAACATTTGTATCCCCATAATATGCTGAAATCAAAAAAAATAAAAAATAATAAATCTCTAGTAAATGTAATTTTATCTTCCTTTGATGATTCATAAGGCATGTATCTTATAATGCCTTAACATTTTGAACATATTTTATGACTTTTGACTATAGCTATAGTAGGTATAGAGAATTAAGCTAAATTCATCACTATCTTGACTTATTTTAGATAATTTTTCCCTGATAAGATTTTTGTTACTTTTATTTTTTAACAAAATTGAGTGGGTCTGTGGAACCTGATAAGATCGTTTTTACTCATAAAAATATAGACTATGTCCCCCACTTTCTACCCTCAAGTGCAATTTA